AAAATGAATGCCAGCTGCAGTTAATTTAGGGTAATCTGAGTTCCTCTAAAATTATCTAAATGGCGCGCTGCATCAAAAATATTGATAATAGTTTATCAAGCACTCCAAAGAGGGCAAATAGTCGAGAAAAGCGTGAATTTTTTGCACAGCCAGCTACACGGTACATCTTAGTAAAAATGTTGATTTCCTAGCTTCTCTGATTACCGAAGCACTTTTCTATCCAAATACGTGAGAACTAAGGGAACACGAATGTTTATTTTACGCCTAAGGATTTATCCACAGTGGTGGACTAAGTTGTTAAAATTTCAGTTTCACAGCACCCGTAAATCTGAAAATCGAAATACGCAAACACATACACGCACAGCATACTTCTTCCACACATGCTTTTGCGCTACATATGTGCAAAGAATGCATAAAAACCAAATTACCCTGAAATCACAGCAAACTGATTGAAGAGGACTCACATTTTCCGAAGCATATCCGCTATCCTTATGTAACTGCGCAAGCTGAGCCGATGGACATTGATGATTATGGGCCTGGAGGCGTCCGGAATGCGCGATAGCTGCACAGCCAACCAGTAAAATGACTTCTCGGCCTTCCACTTGCTCGCCGCCGTTGAGAACCTCACCGAACTGTCGGGCTGGTTGTTCAGTTGCAAAACAATGGCACAATTTAAGCCTGCAATGCATTTGGCTCTCGGTTTGTTAATATACCTTTATCAGCCCTTTGTTTTCACAGCGCTATTTCCAGCGCTTATATTGACGCTTGGGGAAGGGAAGTTCGGCGGATGAAGCGAAGAAAACTGATTTTTATATTTTTCAGTTATTAAGGTTTCAGTCACATTTGCTGATTTGTTCTGTTAGAAAACTGAAGCAGGCAAGATTCCGGTCCTCCATCAATTCCGGTACGGAGGCGCCCTGAGCCGATTTGGAAGGATACTGACACACTTACCGGATTTGCTGCATACCACTGTTCGGTAGGCGAATGTGCCCGAGTAGTTATTGATAACTGCCCCACGGTAATATGTTTCCTCCATTTTATAATGCAGTCCCAGTCCCAGTTCAGCCGTGTAATTCAAGTACCTGAAAAGTAGCCACTGTAGTGACAACAAGATCCTCCAGAATACTGCATCCCCGAAGGCCTCAGGCGATTATACTGAACATATGCCTGCTAATTTTAAGGCGCGAACACTGGCAATTCAGTGCGAATCACGGGTTACACACAGAATCAACAGCTTATCTCATCCGTGTTAGTTGTACAGCTATTTTTGATAAGTGGAGCGAATTATCATACCAATGCGTCACACAATCTATAACGGCTGTTTACTAGCACCCCAACTGGACCTACTTCTCCCTTGATTTTCTAGTTGAAAACCGTTTTTATCAATTAACAGCCCATTGGCAATCAATTACCAGGAACGCCAAAATCTTCCAGGCAATCGCTGTGCAAATCCCGTGTTACTGACATCACTAGTATACGCTCACATGCGAGGCGCAGCTAAGCTAAGTTCTTCGACCCTGAGCTGCATCATGCACTCAGTTGGTACCTATCGCCTGTTCACTGCATGTACGTCACTTCTCCTACAGGCCGCAAAATGACTGCTTAATTTATAGCGAGTAATACACAGCGTCCACCGGTTGTAGGCAGAAGCGAGCAGCGCGCCCTGACCGCGTTGTCACAATGATATTTTGCACACTTCTCATCTGATGGAGAATTTGGTTGTTCATATAGCCATAATAAAACATCCCAAACATCTTTCGCTCCATTGCCGCCTTCCATCACAGTCACATCCGGGGTTCTACTAAATGGTTAATGAAGCGGGTGTTAAAGCATGCTTACCTCAGTAGCATGGATAAGTTGCAGTGACCACGATCACATCGGTCCGTGTTTTTCCCATACATTCCAATTCCGTTTTGCAGGAAAACTGGAAAAACTGGAAAATCCGCCTAGAAACATTGACTTTTAAAGAAATACTTTGACAGAAACAGAGCACACTTCCTAATTTCAAGAAAGAGGCAGCAAATTACATTTATTACGGATTTGGCCAAAGCGGGGTTTGTGCTTTCAGCGAGGGAATAGTGAGAATCAGGCGAATTCGGCACGAACAGCAGCACCAGATCGTCCTGCGAGTTGTGCAAATCAGTATCAGTGCCATTTTTATGTTCAGAACCACCCAAGTGATGAAAATCTGCTGCATTGGAAAATCCTGTAATTATGGCCTG